TGTGACTTCTACTGGACAGTTGGTTTAACTAAGCTTAAATCTCTAAACCTAACCTACGGAAACAACACACACAGCATACATTGACTTGTGCCCCGGCCATATAGTGTGACGGGTTGTTGGTGTAAATCCCTACACGCCGCTCAGAGATCCTTCTACATGTTGTAACAGGAGATTTGTTGACCATTGCAAGAGCAATAAGGATTTTTAGGGGCATTATGACTGGGTTAATAAAACACAGCTGCCCCTAAAAGTCCCTCACTTTTCTTGCTGCCTTTTCTCTTTTCTCTCTCCCTCCCTCCCTCCCTTGCTTAATCTTTGAATGTCTCATTCCAAACTTTTGAGATCAAACTACAACATTTGCTGGCTCCTCGAGTGCGATTTGGTGCATAACTTTGGTGTCTGTTCAAACGTGGCTGAAAAAATGCAACAACCTGGAGTGACCACAACGTCTGAAGTTTGACCTTTTAACTGGGCCTGGGTCATATAATTCACAAAACGCGAGCAGGCTTCCCAGTATTTATGAATTGTATATTTATAATGGCAGAGTTTTATTGGTTTTTGCAGTGACGTTTTTAAAGGGGGTTGAATGGGTTCAGAGCAGAATTTCCGAGAAGGGAGCGCTCCATGTGTTCATTAGAAGTTCAGCCTTCACAGAAAAGGTGAACACAATCTGAAACTTTTACCTTAGCAGAGAGTTTTATATATGATGCTCACAATAACAAATACACACGCTCATTGTTACGGTCAATCTGAGGACGTAGTGCAGACCCCAAGCAGAAAACAACCTGGGAAATGTAGGGAAAGCCTATTTAAAGTAAGTCTTACAACCCTGCTAACAAATGGTGTGAGGAGAGAGTATGAGACAGCCGCGGTGGAAAATGAAAAGATGTAAGCAACCCTGTGCAGCAAGTGGCGAGATGAGTCTGACTGGGCCTTTTAAACAATGTGAAATGCCACTGAGAGAGGCTTGGCAGGCAGTAGCAGCCAGCACTGTTTAATATCACAACTTTAATCAGCACACTTGGTGACTATCCCAGAGCTCCCCGTAGCCATGATGCTTATTCAAACCAGGCTCATTCCACCAAGCCTCCCTTACTAGGCCCTCAGCTCACTGCCTCATACTCTCCTACAGCATATATGGAGAGCTTTTGGCTGGAGTGGTTTTATCTGCTTTCTGTGATGTGTCATTGCACTTTAGTGGGCTACGTTGGAGGGAATCGGTGATGATAGTTTGAGTACAACTCGTCGCAGAAACATTTTCATGTTAGATTTTAGGTGTATTTTATGATTTTGTGAATGTTTTCTACTTTTGACATTTAATTTTAGCGGTAGGATATATCAGCTATAATCACATGGAATTTAATTAGAACTTCCAGAGGGTTTGACAAAGTGTCAACTTTCCTCACGACGTCAGTCCACAACAACCTATTACAGACGTAACAAGAAATGGCAGGCTTGTAAAAACAAATGATCTGCCACCAATCTGTTAAACACAGCCCACAAATAACTTATGATCAAGTGTTAACTTTTTAATAAATAAAACTGACGGAAAGATTAATGTAACAACTTCCAGCCCACCGCAATGCCAAGGGAGTCCATTTACAGGACTGTTTTTAGGTGTGTTTTAATAATCACAGAGGGTCTCGTGTTTTTAAAATAAAAATCCCATGCTTCAGCGAATGTCTTACCTATGTGTCACTTGCAGCATAAAGATGCCACCACGGCCCGCCGCTCTATTAATTACATAAAGCATCTAGTGTCAGGATGCTAAATTCATTAGTGAGGTATTTACGGCATGCTAGGGTCAGGACAGATATAGAAACAGGCCTCCAAAACAACTTCTTCCCCACTTTACAGACATGTTCCACATAATAGAGTGTGGGCACTTTGTGATTTTTGACAACGGTCTGTTTTTTTTAATTCATCTCAATATGTTGATGTAGAGTTTGAGCTGTAAGCTTCTACAGAAATGGTTCAACTTTGGATTCAGTTGCTCATCTAAATTCAAAGAGGGTGCGAGTAATTCGCTTGTAACGCAGCTAATTTAGGTTTTTATCATGTGTGCTCTTTGAACAGAGATTAATTCAGTAATTTCACAGATTTTCATTGTAAATGTGGCTTTTTTTGTCTATTTTGGCCTATTTTTGATTGGGCAAATATATATATTTTATATCTATTTATCAAGAGCTGTACAGCAGAATGAGGCCAGCTGAGAAATGTAGAGCCCCTTTTTTTTCTTCTTCTATAGAAATGGCACATGAAAGCTGTTCATCATTGTGTGCATCAGAAAGAAACAACCTCTGCTCTGGTTTTCTGTGAAGCTGTGACTTTCTAGAGAAGCATGCTTCTCTCTGTCACAAGGTTGCAAAGGTCAGGTTTTACTAATCAAAGGTTTAAGCCAATTATTAAGCAATGACATTCACTGTCTGAGCTATTAAATAGTAAAATTTTAAATCTTTACATTTCCATTGGTTAAGTACCTGCAGCTTTTTCCAAATGCAATCCTCTTTCGCACTTTCATTCCTTGTGTAGTTCACTGCCTGAAGAGTAGCTTAGTAAAAAAGTGTAATATTGATATAATATTATGTACAGTCTAATGGATTTATGGTATTTATTATTGACTGTATGGTGACATTATTGTACTGTAGCGTACTTTGTGTTTAGTCTCGATATTATCGCCATAATATTCACCCAAATTTATTAGGCTATAGATCACATTTTGTGTCAACGGTATTGAATAGTGTGTTTACTGACTCATCGGGCGTTACATATTTGCTATTATCCCCTAAGATATCGCTATGCTTTAAAAAGAAAAAGAAATAAAGAATGAAAGAAATGAAAAAGAATTGCCTGTTCGTATTCTCCTTAAGACTCCACATCTGCTCCCCATTTATCTTCTGTAAAACCTCAATATGTAGCACAAGTGGATTTTCGATAACTTGGTGGTCACATGCGCCAGAAACTGGGACTTTGTAGGCCAGTTGAACAAACTGAGGACTCACCTTGCCCGCAAAGACCCAGCCTCTGACACACACCATCATCATCACCTATCCCGTGGCCGGGACTCGATGTGGAGGGAACTCCAAAGGTTTACCTACGGATTCGGGATAGTTTTTTTCGTACCACAAGATTTTACTTCCAGGCGAGTTAATGAAGGAATGCGAAGGGTTTAATCTGTGCCCACGCCGATACATACCCACTGATCTGCTGTCTGTCAGTGTCTGGAGAGGTGATGCTTGCCAGGTGGTTGCTACCTGCGTACCGGGCAGGTGTCAGCATCCCGCTGCCATATGGGGACTTCGCGTAAAGAGCGCCGACTGTCTGGTTGGTTGTCTGGCTGCCTGGAGGAAATCGCGTCTGCAAACGAAGTTCAACTTCACCGTCCATCCACCGCCAGCACCACCGCCGCCCCAGTAATATCTGATCACTTGGTGTTGCACGCAACCCAAATTAAGCAAGATTATCCATTTGGGGGTGGGGGGTAACGAATTGTCTCTTGGAAGAAATCGGACAGCCCCCCTCCCCGGCCTATGTTTTCCCCTCTATCCAAGGAGGGGAAAAAACATGCAGACGCAACAGTGTCGCGCCTTGTGCCAGTCCCCCCCAACACCCCTCCCGCCCTTAAAAAAAGCTTCTGTGTTTCCCACTGAGAGATCACCAGTGCGCACCCATGAACCATGGAGCACCCATCCACTCACCCAATATCCATTCTGAACAAGAGACAACCGGGGAGACAGCGGGAGAAAGGAGCCCGCTGTTACTACTGCCATTCTGTAGCCTCGATATTATGAGCAGGGTATTCCCAAACAGCTGGAAGGAGAGGATATATGGTGCTGCGCCCTCGTGTTGGGCCCTCCCCAAAATGGACCGGTGCTAAGTGGTAACCTGGTTATTTTCAGCGCGTCACTGGCTCCTCTCCAATTATAGGTTTCCGTCGGGAGCGCAGCAGCGTGGCTCCGTATTTCCAATTATTCTGAAAGAGGACTTTTTTAAAAAAGGACAAGAACACTGCACAGAGTAGCCTAATGTCCGAGCATGTGTCTTTTGCCCGTAACTGCACACATTCCTGCGGTGTGTCGGCTCGCCCAGTCCACATGCGCCACACACACGCCCGCACGCCGCGCTCGGCTGCGTCTCCGGGCCGGGCGACTCGTCTGCGGCTCCCTCTCAAGGTGTTCCCCTCTTTTATCGATGCTGCACAGGAGGCTGTATACATCCCAGGTTCATCACACCTCTCGTGTCGCCTCCCTGAACAGCAACATGTTAGCGTGTCGCGACCCCTGGTGGCAGCGATGCGCCATGACACTTCGTTACAAGCATGTATCAAACGCACAACCTTTTATTGTTCTCTTCCTATCACCGAGTGTGATCACGTATGGACGCACATCAGGGGTCACTTACAGCGTGACAGGAGGCGTCTTTTGGACATATTTAGTCAGTGGCTTCATTCCAAATTGATTATTAAGTCAGAAAGGTTTCTATTCGAGCTCGTCATGTTATGTTACGTGCTCCAAAACGAGCAAGTCTTAATGCCATTTATCCATTTATTCTATTATTTTCTATTCTTCCCTTTTACATTGCAGTATTTTCTACTATATTCTATTCTTTCTGGTATTTCACATATAGACCTATTCTAATGTGATATATTGCATTTTATTCTCTTCTGTTCTATTCTCGAAGTCATGCTCCACTTTTAGTGTACGTGGTGACGCTCTCCTGGCAGCTGTCAGCTGCTTTGTGTGGACAAGAATCACACAGTAATACCGGAAATTGGGCGACTTTCTGATGAAAATAAAATAAACGACGTGATGCTTTGTCCTGAATGAGCCATTATTTATTTGAAGAGTAATTGTATCGTTCCACGCGGTGTATTTTGTAGTAATATTACCTCTCTCGTTCACCCTCAATTTCGCCTGGACACTTTCTATTTCTAAAATATGGTATAATTGATATTAGTAGGGAATCATTTTATTTTTAAGGGTTTGACCGGAAGCCATGTGTTTGATTTGACTTGACGCCGAATAGCAATGTCCGACTTTGGACCTGACAGGAACAGCCCGGCTTCTCCTAAACAAGATATTTCATCACTCCAGCAGCAGCAACAGGATGGATGTTCATCATCATCTGTATCATCATTTTGACATCTGACACCCGTCGGTGAGTCCATTAATAAATGTCTCCGCCTCACAGCGTTTGTATCTGTACATCATCGGGTATCCCAGTTTCATCAAACTCAGATGACTGTTCCAATGCAGATTCGGAGCTTCCCTTGATCTTACAGAAGCAAATTCCGGATAATGCCAAGCCAATACAGTACTGGACCAAGTTTATTAATACTGTAATGACGTCAGCATGTGTTGAGGGAGCGAGGCCGTCGACCATTAGAGCAGGGTTGGGGGGGGGGGGGGGGCGGGATGTAAAGACAGAAAGACACAGGCATAATCACAAAGGGTGTTTGAGAAATATTTTGCGGATGTTGATTAAGCAGGTAAATAAATACACCAGAGGAAAGCAACCAATACCTTACTGTATACACCAGTAGGCTACAAGTCCACTAAGCATGTAGCAACTATAAGAAAAATGTAGCCTCCTTAAAGTTTCAAAAGTAAAAGCACCTAGAATAACTGCTTTCAGTGTTGTATTTTCATAGATATTAATCTATTGGATTACTAGTGATTACTAAAACTGCGTTGTTAAGATAGGTAGCTTAATTTATAATAATATTCATATTTTATAAGCACAATACAGGTTTTCTGAGTAAACTATTAATCTGCAGAGGGACAGTACATTTCAGATAAATATAGTGGAGTAAAAAGTACAATATTTGCCTCAGGAATGTAGGTGGGGGTAGAAGTATAAAGTAGCATAAAAAAAAAGAAACGAGTACCTCAAAATTGTACTCATATACTTGAAATGTACTGCTTTCCACCACTGAAAGACATAAAGATAAATTAATGAAGAATAAAACCCCAGCAACCAATTAATAAAAATAGTCATGAAAATAAATAAAAAAACTCCAATCACAACTGTGTCATTTTAGCCAATCTCAAAGAGATAGTATACAGATGGCTGTTCTGATCAGCAGTTTTGCCTCTTTTCGTTTTTTACAATTTTTTTAGAAGAAGCTCCTCACAATCAAATGGTCGGTTCATGGTTGTAGATGTCAGTATGCCCACACAATGCGTCTTCCTCACGTCACCATGTGTTACCCTCCTCTTGCTCTCTGTAGTGCTGTGGGGCCATTAAGTAGCGGATGCAGCTGATTCCCAGCTGCAGGCGGCCCTCTCAATGGTCTCTCCCACCATGAAAGCGTTGGTGGATGCCATATGGGCGGTGTGGAGCATCGGGGCCTCAATTTATGACTACATCAACACCAATGCCATGGAGGAGCGCATCCACGCCCTGGAGAACGTTATCACCATCCACCAGTGTGTGATCGGGCTGCTGTCTGCAGGCGTATTGGCACTCTTCAGCTACATCCTCTTCAAGAAGCTCTGAGATGTGGGTAAGGGGTGGCCTGGGGGCGATGTGGGGGACGTGGACTGGCCAGAATGAGACATTGGTGTCCGGTGTGGTAAAGCTGGTCAAGCAGACAAAGGGGATTTTTTTTATACATTGGACACAAAGAGGAGATGGCGTGGGACCTAACACATACATGAGCACACTGCTTTTTTCAGACGAGGTGGTAGGAAGGTGCAGCAGTATGTGGAAAAAACACTTCACCACAAATTATCGTTTAGTAACTTCAGTTTAGTGCCACATTTTGTGATAAATCTGTTTTGGGGAAAAAACATTGAGGTTCATGTCCTTATCATCAGTAATGTTGTGGTTGTGGAAGTGAACATGTGGAGCTAAAGAATCTAGCAGCGGCTTTTTAAAAGGCCAGTATAGAGTTTTTGTACTGATGATGAAGGATTTTATGTGCCGCTATTCAATATATTTAAATTTTGATTTAATACTCAACTTTAATGGCTTTACAACCAAAAGGATTCCTTGTCCCCCGTCACAGAAAACTTTCTTCTTAAGGGAGTTAAAATGCCTCTGAAAAAGCATTTAGACCATCATGGGACATTGTGACTCAGCTGCTCACTGCAAGTCTTGCAGGCTGTTGACTAAAATATGTCCTTCACACATTTGAACTATCTGAAAATATCAAAAGACAACAAAAATATCCAGTGTCAGCACAGACACTCAGTGTGCAGTGAATATGAAATGGCCAATATGCAAGTTTTTTTGCAAAGCCCAAGTAGCTGAACATATCAGAAACCCAGTACATCTGCCAACACTATCAGAAACCTCTACACACACACACTGAAGTATTAGTGTGGTGTCAGTGCTACGTCAAACTCATGTTACACTGAGACGGCTTCTGCTGACAGAATGCGTCTGGGCATTGCCCCCACACTGTAATTCACTCTTTTCTAAAGGGATCGTCAGTGAAATGAATAGTTCGCCATAACAACTTATGCCTTAATGCGCATCATGTTCAATTTTGCACTGATTTCCTCAAAGCCTAAGAAGCCCTGAAACTAGTTTCTGTGAGAAAGATGATCAGAGAGTGCAGAGATACTTTAATATCTCAAAGGTCTTCGATAGTGTCATTTCACATTGTCACACCCTAAAATCTCGTGTTACAATTTTATAGGTGTGTATTATCTACATTATTAGACTTTAAAGAGCAACATCATGATCCATTTATATAATGCTTTTTCCATTAATGTAATACCTCATAGCTGTTAAATTACTGTAGTTGCCTCTGCTGTATAAAACAATGTATACTGTTTATAACAATTTGAAGTGTCCTTAAAAACTGTAAATATATTTGGATGTATATGGACAGTTTTGTTTAACCCGCCATTGTAACGTTTCATAGATGTGCAACTGTCCCATAGTACTACTGCTGCTTAATATTTGTTTTTTTTTGTTTTTTTTAAAGGCGACATTTTGTACCATGAAACACTTGCTCAATGTGTGAAATTAGTATTTTAGAGGATAATGGATGTTTTTGTCATAGTTACTTAAACTAACCTGTGGTGGGTCATTGAAAACTATTTCCATATGTGATGTTTGTTTATCTGTGAACATTTGTTATGTCTCAGAGGGACCACAACAGAGAACACCCCAGAATGAAAGACTGTTTTAATATGTTTAACAATATAACACCATCAAAGTTTGTGTGGAATTCAATTAAACTGGACACCTTTATAATACTACGTGTTTCCAATGTCAGTCTGGTATCAAATGCAATGCAAAGAAAATGGAAAGTAGGTACAAGTTAATTACAGCTGTAAAACACTGCTGCTTAAAGCTGCAATTGCCAAACCTAAGAACATTTCTCCTCTAACGCTGCTGGAACCTTTCAAGAAGAATCGACAGGCCTTTTCCAGGAATTGCAATACTTGTTGAAGGGAGTGAAACAGTGCATGGATGGGCACAGCACTGGTATTATACAGGACCAAGAGAAACCCGTGCTCCGAAACCTGTGCTGCTTCTTCAGCTGAAAAAACTGCTACACAGTTGTGAAACATTGGCATTGTTGTTTTCTGAACTTAACAAGGTTTGATCGAAGCTACTTGGACCTTTTCAGGGTTACTCATAAGTGTCCGGTTTGAAGTAGAGTGTATTTCGAAGTGAACCTCTCCACATTCTCCCCCTCCAAAAACTTCATAGCTCTCCAGTGGATCTTGCCACAGTTCTCTGGCTGTCCCAGGGGTCCCAGCTCCTCCCGGATGTACTGCAGCCACAGATCTTCGGGAAAATAAAAACAAAACATTTTACACTAAAAAGAAAAGGCTCCAATTAAATTATGACACTCAACAACTGTTCAACTTCCAGTATCCCAAATGATAGCTTTTTATTTGGCCTAGAAATCAGACTGGTAGTTTGTGTGGGATCCAGCCTCTGATAAATATTGAGTCTCACTCTTCACTATCATCTATAAAACAGAACTGAGCTACTGTGTATCTGGTCAAATAACTATTAAAGTACTTAGCATTGAACTTTTCTTTGGTGCAGAAGTTCTGTTAGATGGAATTTAGTCCTTGGTACTTGAATAACAGGAATAAATATTTTGAAATAACACTATTTTTCCTTTTGAGTCTTGTTCCTTTTCAGGCATTTAAACTCTTCTTACCGTCATCTGATGTGCCAAACTCCTGCAGGGCCCTCTCATAGCAGTCTCTCAGATTGTTCATCTTTGGACTCTCCTGGAGGAGCAAAGACCATTGTTACCACAGCTCAGGATTGTCTCCGCTTATCAGTAATATGAATAATATCAAAGTCCACCGTCTGTCCCCACTATGTCTTCGCTGTAATCAGTTCTCTACCTAAAACCTAAAGGGTTCAGACTGAGGAGTAGTTTACGCAAGAGTTTTCACATGTGACATACAGTACTTGCTTTACGTACTTGTTCCTTCTCGATCTGAATCATTCTGGTGAAAAAGGCCTTGGACAAGGGACGGTTTTCCTGTAAGCTACAGGAAGAGGAAAAAAAGTTTAATAGCTTTAAATCAACAGCTTCGTTATGAGACACTTTTGAATTTGCCCCACAGTGTTTTGGGACCAATTAAATGTTTTTTTTCCTTTGTGTAGTTCATCATTTAAATTAATGCACAACATCAGCGGACAAAGGTTTTTGTTTTTTTACCTCGTAAACGTCTTCCTAGCTTTCTTGTAGCCTCCAGTGGAGTACGACCAATCAAGGTAGCTCCCTTTCATCTCCATGGCAACAGCTGCTACTGCAGACAGCAGACCTCTCTGGGAACAAACGAGAGAACAAACTGTCTGCGAGGCCAAAACACTGTGCAGACGCGAGGGCCTTTTTTTCCGCTTCGTCTTTAAGTATTTGCCCACAGGTAGGTATTATCAAGGACTGCTTATCCTGATTTCAGTTCATCCACACTGATTTTGTTCCAGTGTAAAGCAAGACACAAAAGGCATGTCATTATGTGCTAAATGTTTACAATAAACAGCTCTTCCTGTCAGTTGTCTTTGAAGAAATGTCGCAGCCAAACGAGAGCAGTGACAGCACACTATGCAGTAACTCAGTCTGGTGGATTCTGGCGAACTACCTTGAAAACGGCTTCTGTCTCCTCCGGACTCTGGTTGGCCACGCTCCACTGGACCTGCAGCTGCCAAAGTGGTAGACTCTCCTGTCAAGACAGGACAGAAAGGATTTAGCTATTAGTTGGTTTCTAACCCGTCTCTAGCTCAGTGAGGAGTCCACTTTCCTCCAGTAGCACTTAGTGTTAGTGGTTAGTGTTGTCAGTATCATACAATATCTCCTTTTAAGTCTTAGAGCAAACCAACCTGAGCATGCCAAGTTCAAATCAGGCCGATGCCTGCAGATTTAGCTGCCGTATTTTCTCCACTATATGCATAGATTTTAAAAATGATTAATAAGTCAGTTAAGATAGAACGTCCACATTTTCCTAATTCATTTATCTATACCTCTGCACCGTGCAATATGGAAACATTTTATTGTTCGACATACCAGACGTGAAACCCCTGCGGGTTTATACAGTTTCCTAACACTTAAAGAGAATGTTTATCTTGAGAGAAAAGACTTGCGTAATCAGCAGCAGCGTTGTAATCCTCCTCACACAGCTCCTTCTCAAGGCTACAGTCTTGTGAAACCCACACCATAACAATAACCAGCTATTCTGCTCACTACTATAAAGGCCTGTGGCTGAGTCAAAGCATGTGTCGTCATAGTCATACAGCAATATACTGTGATGTGCAACAATGTGAAGGGCTGAGTGTCAGGGCAACACAAAATTAAGGACAAAAAGTCTTTTATATTAGTCTATTATATGTTAGTTGTGTTCAGAAAGCTGTACTTAACAGGAGAAAATCTTCAGAAAAACACTGACAACCTTTGAATATCTGAGGTGTATCAGGTGATTTCTAAGGATCAGTTCACTATCCATCCAAAGCCTATATATCTGTCAAGCGTGTAGGTATAAACAGTAATACTGCTAATTTAGACCCCAAATAACTAATAATTACACTAGCTATAATAATCATTATCATCTCTGGGTTTTTAATGTTTGTGTTTATAACTGAAGGTCTTAAAGTAAGTTTTTTGTCTTTTATAAGTCTTCATCATATATAGAGGGGGGCAGCGGAAGCCATTTGACGACTTAATGTAATGGAATAGAGACTAATTGGGCCAAGGAGATGGCCCACTTATACTGCAGCGCTTGTGGCTGATGTGTGTGTGTATTTCCATTCTCCAAGGAGAACAATTACACTGGTACAGTAGGAGCACAACTGATGTGGGGCTCAGTGTAAGCAGAGAAAATGACCAATCTCAATGTGACTGAGAACAAATTATGTAGAGTTAAAGTGTTAGCGAGTGTGTGTGTGTGTGTGTGTTTGTGCGCGAGCGCGCACACTCGGTGTACCTTAGGATTAACATGTGTGAGAGCGTCCTGGAAAAGCCTGCCAACGTCTCTCTCACTCCCCAGCTGCATTAGCGTCTGCAGACTCAGGCTCCACACTGACACCGATTGGCTGTAGCGCTGCGTGGCTGCCATGGCAACACCGGCCGCTCCCTCAGCATCTCCGGATGAGAGCAGGATCTGCAGCTGGTCACATGGAGAATGTCGTGTTGGTTGTTTCCACACATCGGTGCTGTGGCGCTTTGCAACATTGTTACCTCTTTTCATTTTACTTCATTTATAAATCAAAGAGCAACTTCTATCAAATCTCCTCATGAACATGTAAGCCCCAACTCAACAGTTAAATAAAGAAAATAATAAAGGAATTAATAAATTAATACCCAAAAATTGCTACAAGGCAAAAGCAACACTATCAATATTGACCAGTCATTACGAGTGACACCAAAAAGGGCCACAGCAGATCTAAGAACTGTCTTAAGATGCAATCACACTCACTTGGTTGACTCTGGTATTAATATAGTTTGATAAAAGTGTTACATTTTAATATTTTACTTGTTGAGGTTTACACTGCCAAATTAAAAAGCGAAACAGGACTTGTAACAGTACCATGGACTCTCAAATAACTTCTTTACTCAACAGAGTTTTAGTAACATGCAATTTTAGCTGCAGGAGGGTGTCAAACAGTCATTTTATGGACTTCTCTCTTAATAGATGGTAAACAACACGGAGGGGCTGCCATGCGTAAAAGGTCCTTGGTGTGAGCCTTTAACCACTAGGCCAACAAGACATCTGCCTCTGACATTTGCGCTTTTTTCTAATTAAATGTCTCGAACCTTCGAACATCACTGCAGACACCAGTTAGGTTTCATTTTGTTGTGCTAGGAAGTATGATGAAGTATGAGTTACTACCAACTATCAGCTACAGATGTAAACATTGTTCTTTACATTGTCACTCCTCATGAACTGCACCACAATGCATTTAAAGGAGACTGACAAGCAAAGACGTTTATGGGTATCACCCGACTTTGACTGGCACTTCTCTCACGCAGCTAGATTAAACTCATACTATTAACATGTTGTGTGAACAGACATTTGAAGAGTCATTATTTAAATGAGAGAAGACTGAACCATAAAGGCTTAAGAGCCCTTATGATTGCAGTTGCACGTTAAATGAAGCTATTTTCTAACCCATTTCTTGTAATAATCCTCCTTCAGCAGTGAGGCGTCGTGGGCACGCTGCAGCACTCCCAGCAGCCTCTCCTGCCTCTGTAATAAATACACAAACACATAAAACCGTGTCAGGATTTACCCATTAAACATCCATCTCCAACACTGAAGGCGTTGACATTTTTTTAGTGTACATGTTTAATTTTTATCCTCAGGAGAAAACTAACTGCCATATTGACATTCATTTTAAACTGGTAGATTATTGACTTACTTTTTCTTTCAGCTCTTGGACATTTGTCTTCCTCTTCAGCCTTTCTAAGCAGAAGGCCACATAGCAAGTCCACATGGGCTCTACAGCGCAAATCACACAAGCATAGCAATAGTTTCTTATACTGACACATCAAGTAGGCAGGGAGTATGCAAGTAGTGAATTAAAACAAGGCACCAGTAGAGTTCAGAAAGCCAAATTAAAGGTGTTTTAGAACTTTTAGGCTACCTGGATCAGATGATTTGACAATACAATACTGGCAAAAACAGACTCACTTTGCAGTGGAAATGATATTGAGTGTATGCACAAAAGAAACTAGGAGCATTGATAAGTAAAATACAACTACATTGTAAAGAAAATATTCTTTTTTTATATGGTAAAACTAATTCTCGTCTTTTCTAAAGCACATGCAGTGGAAAAAATGTGTCACTGCAAAGTGATAAAACTTCAACTCTAATTAACTCTTTACTTCTTTTCATACTTTAGATAATTTTCATACTTTATAAATCCACAGGACACCGTAACATTATGTCCATTAAAACTACTCATCAAAACTCAAACAGCAAAGTCTCAACAACTGAGTTTGCTTGTGGAAATATTTCCCAAATTATAAATGTCTATTCACTCTTTGTGTATGTACTCTGTGTATGTGTTTATCCAATAAAGCCAACTGAATTGAACTGAACTGTATATATGAGCTCCTACCAGTATTAATGCTCTTGACTCCCTCCTCATAGACCTGGCAGCAGCGCTCCTCTCTGCGGCTGATATCTGAGGCCCGGCCTTTGGCTGTCTGCAGCTCCTCCCCAGCCCCCGGAGCCTCCAGCTCCCTCTTAGCCATGAAATCCCATGTCAAGCTGTTTTCTGTGTAGTTTTCCTGTAAGCTGCAAGCAAGGGTAAGGGAGTAGGTACGTTCATGCTTAGTGATAAAGTTCTGTTTGAGATGCAGAGTTAAAAAATAAACTCTTCTGGAAGTAAGCTGGTGCCTTACTCTTGCAGGATGAAGTCCTGGAGTTCTTTGGTGAAGTCAAAGATAGCTGCTATGTTCAGAAGTGAGATGACAAACTCTGCTTCTATTGGACAAAAAGATCAGCAATACAAAGGTAAAGTGAGCAGATCGAAGAATTTCTGTTGTTGGAGGAATAATTTGACATTTTATTAAGAGCGCTTATTCGCATTTTTGCTGAGGGTGAGATGAAAAGATTGATCCAACTCCTCTGTCTGCATCATAAATATGAAGCTGCAGCCAGCAGATGGCTAGCTTAGTGGCAAAAACAGCTAGCCTGGTTTTGCCTGGATCCAGACCTTTGAATCCGCCCACTCCACCAAGTTGACAATTCTGCCTGATATCAGTCAAATCCTGGCTCTGTCCAAAGGAAGCAAACTCTGCCTACCAGCAACTCATTTGTTTAATCCGTACAAAAGCCAATGTGTAAAAAACATTGTTTGTGGACATCTTACTTAAAAAGTAGGCCAATCTTCTCCAATGTATCAGTGTCTAGAGAACTTTTAGACATTTTAAAATGAAAAAAGTCTTGTTTAAAATCAGGAAATATCTTTCTGTACCAAGCATAATCTGTGCGATCTTTGGTAATTATGCTACAGAAACACATCTTTGTTTGGTACTCAGCCCTAGTTGTTAAGATACTGGGAAATAAATGTAAGCAATGTTACCACTTACCAAAAATGTAACACATACAAATAATATTGATAATGAAAATTTAAAAAAATAATAATATAAATAAATAAATAAAATATATATATTCATGGGCGTAAATTTCATCTCACAGTGGGGGGGGGGGCAATAAACTTTTTGAGGGGGACACAAATAATACAGCCAAAATTATACTTGTAGGCCTGTAGGATATGTGTACACAGAGAGAAGTCTTACTATTTTTCTGGCCAACAACACAAAGCAAAAGTTGTTTAAATATGAGTTAAGTTCATAGGTTCACCACCTCTCTCTCTCTCTCTCTCTATAACATATTTAAGGGAAGCAAGCCAACTGCTCTGCCACTTATCATAATGCACAAAACCCAACACAATGGTGGATCTACAATATCAGCCTAATATCGGTTTACACACAGGATTATCGCTGTGGTAACAGATGCATAGATTACATTTTTCCTGGCTGATTCCCATTACTGATTTTTTGAAAATGTCTGACCTGCCAATTCTAATTTTGGCCGATTCCGATTTTATTTCTTTCTAAGATCTATAACTGATAAACATTGTAAACATCTATTTTTATTAGGATCCCTATCAGCACCAGTATAAATGTTGGCTATTCTCACTGGTCTCAGTTGTATGGTCATAATGAAACACTGATTATAAAATAACATTTTCACTGGAAGGAGCTGAAAATAAATTGCACACCATTTTAATTCTACTTAATTCTCCAATTTATTTTTGTGTTTAATCACAAACTACAGAAATCTGCTCACCTTTCTTTTCCCATCAGACACAGAAGCACACGCCTACACCTGTCTGTCTCTCTTTCTCTGTTTGCTCTGACTTTATTTGCCAGCAGTTTTATTTAAAAGAACTCGCATTTGGTATCTTTTGACAGCAGCAGATGAGCCGCGTGAGGTTACTGTCTTTGCACACATGAGAAACACGGCGCCGTGCAGCATGTTTGTAACGTTCAATGTTACCGGCAGAAAACTCGACATTTGACACTGCTTGGCGAGTAAGCGAAAAAATTTCAGTCCCCAGCTGATCGATCTGCACATCTCTAGGTGTAGAAGGTGAGTTCCAGTGCAATAAGCTGTTAAACAAGCTACCAAATAAGCTAGGTAATGTTATAATAACAGAGTGGGCTCATAGAAAAATAATCGGTTATCATAACTTTTTGTCATGATTAATTTATTAATGACTCAGCATCATCTGTATTAAAGACAAAAGAATCAGTTTATCCAATGTTTAAAAATAATAACACAGCCCTGCCAGCCTACTTAACATTACTGGAGCTCCTCAACTACTGACTGATTTGAACTGGTCTTCTGCCATTGAACTCCTGTGAGAGAGAAAGCAGGCAGTGGACCAAACCACGGTAAGGCAAGAGAGGGGGGACTCAAAATGTTTCTAAACTTAAAAAGCACTTTAATTGCCCTGTTTGCAAGATTTTTATGTATTTTATGTTTTGCACAGAATAGGAAATAAACTTATTAAAAAAAGTCTACCTTTGATTTTCCCTGTAGCATCTCTGTACACAACCTCAGCCAGTTTAGCACTCAGGATCTCTGGAGAAAACTCATATTCACCCTAGAAGGAGAAAAGAGCAGGTCTTTAGGCACTGGATATAAAGCTTCTGTGTGTGTGTGTATTAACTTTTTGCATTTTCCGCTGTTCGCACTTGATTTCAACAGACTCACCAGGTCCATCTCAGCTTTCTCCAGCTCTTTCTTCTGCTTCCTCAGTTTCTCGCAATGGAGCAGCTCCATGCGGAAGTACTAACACAGAGTTGTTGGAGAAAATTAGACAAAGATTATTTCACACATACAAAATCACAATCATTGCTCTTTCAACAGCAGCTACCAAGCCCTTTTTTCAACAGAATTTCGTTCAAGCAAAAACAAAGTTTTTCTGTACAGGTTTCAAGACATTGACTCTTTTACCTCCTGGTAGACTTTCTTGTTGTTTGGATGGAAGCGCAGAGCTCTCAGAAACAGGTGTCTGGCACTTTCAGAGGAACTTCTATCCTCCAGCTCACTCTTGGCTGCCATGATCCACAGAGCTAAAGAGGGAGGAGAACAAAGTCACAATTCATTTGTATTTGTAGGTGACATCATGTGCCCATTTTGCCTGGGCATGCACTTGTTTTGTCAATCCTTAAAATTGGGATTGCAACAGTGGTATCTGGAGTAGTGGGAGTTACCACAGATTGAAAAGCGCTATCTTTTGTACCTGGTTTGTCGGGGTGTATGGCAAGCAAGGCTGAGAAGACCTTGCTGATCTGGCCTTTGGTGGCCTGGTGAGTGAAACCCAGAGGACAGAATTATTAGCAAGAGAAGACACAGTGTTCGGCCCCGAGTGGTACTTAAAGCAAATGATGAGATCATTACATACCCATTTCTTACAGAAAGCAACATGCGAGAGCCATAGCTGCACATCATCCTGTGAGAAAAGAAGACATATGACTGTTCACTCATTTATACTTACATCAAGTCCCATTAGATGTTTAGATTTTAAACAAACTGGTGAGTGAAAACTAAATGAATCAGAGAGTATACAGTGTGATGCAGAGTAATTAGATCATTTCTTTTAGAAGATCAATGCAGTGCAATTGCCATAATGTGTAATAGATGCAAAGATTTAATTAGTACACTACTGAAATACAGTATACATGCTTTGTAGACGGTACCTTCCATTTGTTTGTTGCTCTTCTGAAGACACTGTTTATTCTGTGGATGACGGGGAACTCAATCTCCTCTCTTTTGAAATGGTAATGTATGTGCTGCAAAAACAAAGTTAGGCATGATGAGACATTATCTGAAAGGAACAGGCCGCCAGTGTCCACTCACTCCATTTGTTTTGCATGTATGTTAAAAAGTATAGTTTACCTCTAGAATATGCAAAAATATGTTTAACATCAAATGAATCCTAACCAAAGTGAATATTAACATTGGATAAAGCAATCCACTGCTTCACACGCCACTTACCGCTCTTCTCTTCTTGATCAGCTCTAAAATGTTGATTTCATACTGTAATTAAACAACATTCGAAAGTTAGCATTTTAAATAGATCAATCATAGCCTTTGTTAAGGGTCCAAGCCCGAGTGGGGCTGGGAACCCTATTGCAATCGTTCTTGTTATTATTATTTTTTTCTTCCATAAAGAAAATGCATACTGCGGCCTAGATGGTAAGTGCTACAGATGTGCAACTCACAAGGTAGGTCCAACTCTTGTCAATGACCTCAGGCGAAAGAATTCGCACACTTCAACCTCTAGGTGGCGCTATTAGCAAGGTCAAAGCGTTGGGGCTTGGAACTCCAGCCTACGATGGCGCATATCAAAAACCTTACATCCACGCATTCAGGGATCGAGATGAATTTCCTGGTATAGGCCAAGCCCATTTCTGCCTAAACTTTTTTTCCCCGCTACATTGCGAAAACTGAAAAACCTATTTTAATTAACTCCTCCGACGCCAAACTTGGCACAGATAATCTCTGGACCAAGCTGATAAAGATTTGTAGAGGAAATTTTGTTATTATAAACTAACAAATGTTTGCGAAAAACACTAAAAACAGGAAGTCATATCTTAGGCTTGGAATGGCCGATTAACACCAAATTTGGAGCAATAATGTGGGACGCCCCCCTGAGGGCCTGACCAAATTTGGTGCAACTAGCCCCTAGGTGTCACTATTTAACCCCAAAAAATATTTTCTCCATAACCACAAGTCGTGAAAGTTGAGCTGAATTCTTCAGCTCAATTCTTCTCCTGACTCCAGGCACCAAAGTTGACCCTAATATGCCCATAGGTGGCGCTGTTATTGCACATTAAAGACATCAAAAAAAATCCTATTGACTTACATGCATTTTATATCTTCAGAACCACAAGTCCGAAGTACATTTTGCTTCATAACTTCGCGCCACTACATCACACAATCATAAACCTTATGTCTACGTGTTTGGGGGATACTTCCGCTTCGTATGGTATAGGACACACGCCTCTGTGCGATGACGTTTCTGAAATCTGTAAAACCTATTTTAATGAACTCCTCCCAAGCGGCAAATCCGATCGGCACCAAATTTCGCACGGACAATCTCTGTTTAATCACATGGGCGAAAAAATGTCAAAATTATAAGCTAACAAATGTTTGCGAAAAACACTAAAAACAGGATGTGATTCATATGTCAGGTTTGCAGCGTCCCATCAACACCAAACTCAGGGACCTTATCTGGCACGCCACACCAAGGGGCTGAGTGAAATTTGGCATCAATCGGCCTCTAGGTGGTGCTATTAATCATCTATAAAATAACACTCCCATAGTCATAGATTCATTTTACATCTCCGTAACTGCAAGTCCCTTTAATTTCAAACTTATTTAACGCAGGGCCCTGAAGCCGGGTGGACTCGCGCGGCCCCCGTGGGGTGAGGGGTACGGCTGGCGCCGGGGGACTGGACGCTTGTTTGCGGTTCTAGTTTTATTTTTGTTTTTAAAACTGGAGGCAACGTGATCATGGCACTCTACCTGAATGTATGCAATGAAGTCCTCTTTGCTTATGATCAACCTGTGGAGCTTGTATTCCAGGGCTGTAGCTCTCTTGATTATAGATCTGAAATAGTAAAAAAGAAAAACAGTTTCCCTAAGAAGTAAATCTAAGAATCAACACTTGAATTAGCCTGAATTACTGACTGGCTCCATGGGCTTATGTTTTTTAATATATATATATATGGACTGTGGATCATGAAATGAACCCACAGGTGTCTATATAGAGACACCACAGCTCCAGAATCTGTTTCCTGATCTGTAATTTCTGCTCTCTCAGCTTACAGTGAAACTTTAGATCCAATCAAGAGTAAGCTGGGTAGTTTTATAAAAATAGTACACAGTTTTTTTCCCTTTAGATCCACTAATATTTCATTTGTAGCGATGAGGTCAACGATGGATTAATATGCTACAAGATGACAAAATGGATGCTCTTGTCTGTCCACATTAACGTACTTTCGCCAGTTGCCCAGTTCAACAAAACATTTCTTATGAGAGGCCATCCCTAGACTAAATGGTTTTAAAAGGGTGTCCTCGGCATATGTGTGTGTTGTTCTACTAAATGAAACTCTTGGCACGTCGTCTGTTGCCTTACTTGACTTCTTTCTTGGTGAACAGTCCCACTCTCTCCAGCTGCTCCAGCTCAGGGATTCTCTCCTCAATCCGCTGCTGAACGATCTCCGCCATCTTGTCGACGCAGCCGTTACGGGTTCAGGCTCGGCTGTTATTTGGTGATATTAAACTGATTGTTGTCAACTTTAAATTGAAAAACACGAGACTGTAGGCAATGGGGCTGCTGCTTCTCTGCCCTACACATGTGTGGAAGTTGTGATTCGCCCCTCTTCCGGTTCCACCAGCAAATAGTTCCGTCGGGAAACACGAGCTAGTGATGACAAAATCAATTTAAACCATATACTGGATATAGGAGTCACGTACTGTACAGTTTGGTTTGGTTTGGGGAGCCACATACTATTTGAAACCCCCCGAGGACACATTATTTCCTATTTATTATTTGCCGTCTTGCTATCAACATCTCAAAACCATAATTTTTCAATTAAAGTATTGTTTTCATTACCAGACTGTACTGACGTTGCGCGTACAGTTGTACTGTACTGTTGTAAAGTTCAATTTCAATGAAAACATGACGCCAAAATACCATATAGTATGACAATATTATTATAAAAGCAGTTATTAAATGACAGTGATATTTTATTTGTTGGATATTTGGTGATTTTTAGCCTATACCATATGTACAATAAATTAAGTTTACTCAGTATTGGGTACTTTAAGCATAAAGCCTAAGAAGTACTATGAGATAATAATCCCCCTAACCATAAGCTTTTGACAGTGTTTTGGAGATTGCATTTATTGCAGGCCATAGTTCATTTTTCCATGCAATACATTCCTTTAACAACGTACATTCAAGTAGAGGAAATATCAAGTCCCATATGAAGAAGAGACCGCAGGATCGCCTTGATGTGAATGCTGATAAACTTGATTTCCCGCAAAATCGCAGAAAGCGAGAGCGGGTTGTATGTCATCTCCGGAGGCCAGCAGCCAATCACAGCGCTGGATTTTCTTAGGCCGTCTCCCATTGGCTGAGAACTGACTAATACTCTGTTGTTCAGTACAAATTGAAGGAGACCACACCGACAATAAATTACAGATAGAATATTAATTTCAGCCGAAATACTCCAAACTTCTCCGATATCAAACGACATTTGTGATAGTTGAATGCGGTGGAACCTCAGCCGTACGGAGGTTTGTTTCCTAGTTAACCATGCTAGCACTGCTAGCTAACTAGCCAGCGTCTCGTCGCCTCCTCTTCATCTTCATGGGTTTCTGCTGTTGAGTCTGCCAGGCTTGTGCTGGAGGCAGCGAGGCTAACAAATTAATGCCATCGGCCAGGGTAGGTTGCCTTTATTTGTGACTGATATCTACCACACGCGGATTTTAGATTTTTCGCCAATTCCAGTTTGAACAAACTAATGGATACTACGCTGAAATACAAAGCAAACTAACATGTTAGCATTGTGATTTTAGCTGAGCTAGCTCGCCCCGACTGCTATCTGCTAACGTGTTGTATTGCCACCATTTGTTCTGTAATAATTTATGTATTGATAAGTGTTGTTGTTGTTTCACTCGCAGAACTCAGGTCATATTATGAGTGGGGCGAGTTGCAAAGCTAACGGTGCGGTGTACCCTGCCTCATCAGCAATGATGAACTCTGTGAAGAAGCCGAAGATGGAGCAGATTCAGGCCGACCATGAGCTGTTCCTACAGGCCTTTGAAAGTGAGATTTCACCATTCGTCACTTTGCAATGCGGCTTTTCTGTTTTGGCCAAACATGCTTTAATTAAGCGTGTAGCTACCGGCTTAGGTTTACTGTTACTTACTTTGTTTTCAATATCTGGTTTTGGCTGACAGACCTCCGGAGTCTAACTAATTCTGATGGGATCCCCAAATATTGATTGTTGTAACTATAACGTTACAAATCTCATGATTACTATATGCAGCGATTATCCGACTGGAATCAATGACAGCGTATTTATTATCAGTTTTTCTTTGGTTGTTGGATGTTTTGCCGAATCAGCCACCACCTGTTAACACCCCCATATTTTGGCATGTATTAGCAATAATGTGGATTAATTTCTCAAACACCGACGTAGAGAATTTGAATGGCAGCTGACTGATAGAGAGGCCTGTCTCATGAAGCATGATAACTGTACTTTTGTAAAACACAGAACAGACCTTTTTTTGTTGTTACAAATTTTATTGGGTTCCAGGTTTAACTTTTTTTGAGGCTGTGTCCAAATTAAACATCTCCATAACTTTTGTATCTCCTCCCAGAACCAACTCAGATATACAGATTTCTCCGCACAAGGAACTTGATTGCAGTAAGTAAATTAATATACATATTTTTCTTCAGTAATGTTATTGATTAGCCAGCCCAATGGGATTAAGTCATTAATTCATTCTTATTTTCCCCCTCATCTTAGCCAATATTTTTGCACAGGACGTTGACTTTCATGTCTCACAGAAACGGTCGATCAAATGCCAGAAGGTATGAAATCTGATGTCTTTCATGGTATCTATATGAACAGAGTTCCTTTTTGATACATGTGATGATCCACCAGTAGAGTTTTTAGATGATTCTTACATTTTTTATGTATTTACTTGACTTTGAATCCTTTCCTCCCAGGAAAACATTCAAAGTGGATGATATGTTGCAGAAGGTGGAGAAGATGAAGGGAGAGCAGGATTCTCCAAGGTAACACAGCTAACAAATGTGGAGGTGACCCTTTTTATAGCTGGATAGTTTTTAGAGACTAAAATACCAGAGAAGCAGCATTTACACAATTTGTGACTATTCATATTGACAGTTTGAGCACTTATGACTCAGTTTCACATGTGCATTTTTCCCATTGGTTCTTTAGTTTGTCTTCACATCTACAGTTAACCTTCACTGGGTTCTTCCATAAGGATGGTAAGCACACTTTACTTTTTATAAATTACTTGTGTTTGGTATGTTTCTTTTAAAGTGAGATGCAAAAAATGCATATAAAATTGTCTGGATAAAAAAGTTTATATATCATTGTCACTTGTATCCAGGTTATGATCAGGGTTGTAGGGTTGTTGTTGTTTTTTTTTTTTTTGGAGTATGTTGATTAAGTGTTGCGAATGTAAACATTATGTTCTGGTCTTAGAAACCTGGATAAGGGCTTATTATAGTTTTGAGAAACCTAAATACGCTACATGGAGTATTCTGATAGAAAACAGGAAACGGTGGCAGTTAAACACCTTATCCAGCCTTCTGATCAGTCTTTGTTGGTACAGAACATGGTGGATGTGGTGATTAATCAAGACACAACGGCACACAGATGATCAGAAACATGGATACTGTTAAAATCATGTCTGCAGTGATGTTAATAACCAGGTTTCTCATGTTCATGTAAACATTGTATCCTGGATAAGATCAAAACAAAGATACTAGTGCCTATGTAAACACTCTTTGTTAAAGTGATTTATTGTCATGACACCAAGCATGGTATGGAATGGGGTTTAAGCAAGCAGTTTGCAAAAAATAAATGTAAACGCACACTTACACTAGTGACAGAAGGAGACACTTTCCCTCAGGAGTGACGCAGAAGATGTCTTACAACTAGTACATAGAGATAAAAATGAAAATCATGTGTGCCTCACTTTAATATTATCTTGGATTTTGTTGTGAATCAAAAGTGGACACCAGGGCCCTGTTTCAGAAAGCAGGCTTAACAAACTCTGAGTTTATCCCTGAGCTCTGGTTTGATTGACCTGAGATAGGAAACTCTGAACTTTCGGTTCCAGAACAGTTGATCAGAATAAGTTCAGTCAACTCTGAGTATGTTGAGCCTGATGGGGGAAGCCATCGTCAATGGAGCTCCGATGATACGATTCACCATGGCAACGAGTAAATAAAGGCAGAGCCTCCATTTAAATCAGGTGGAGCTAGTAATATGAATGCATGCCAACATGGACCATGATAGGCTCTAAAACGCAGGAGTGGAAGAAGGATCAGTGTGTTAACAATATTAGGTTACTACACAGCGTTGCTCATTCATCATTTACCAGACTGGAATTTCCTTAATGAATGATGAAGTGCTACAGCCCATTACATTCGGAAATAGGAAGGCTATATTTATTAAGCTGTAATGTAGCCCCTGTAAGTGTTTTCAGTGCAACTGTCCACAGAGTGACAGCGTTATAGCCTACCTAAAGACCGACATAGATTCCACAATGTGCGGAGATCTGTCCTTACATCGATGACAGATGGATCATAAAGTGGTCTAAAAACTAATAGCCTATCTAACCGGGATTTTAAAGTTTTGTGTTTGTTTTTTGAAAGCTGTAAATGCGTTCAGAGATGTGCTTTGATATCGACAGAATGAATGAGGAAATGAAACTGTGTGTCAGACAGCCGCCTCAGGCGCTCCGCAGGAGGGGAGGAGTCAGAGAGAAACTGACGGTTTTCCAACTTGTCCTGTGAACCTAACCTCCTCCCGAGGAGGTTAGGTTCACAGCATCAGTTGCTGGAGTTGCTGATCTAGGGATTATCTGATCTTGCTCTCTGAAACAGAAAACCCAGAGTTTCCCTCATCTCAGGCTTAACATACTCAGAATTTTCACTAATCCCGCTTTCTGAAACGGGGCCCTAGATTGATACTAGACTGTTTGTTGTTGTTGCTTTACAGAAAAGCCATCTCAGAATTCAGAAAACGAACAAAATTCCGTGTCCTTAGAGGTGCTACTTGTCAAAGTCTGCCATAAAAAACGCAAGGTGAAGTAAAATATTATTGAGCCAGTCTCTCACTTCAGTTAAGTCATTTCATCTGCCATCACTTACTAGTGATTTTTGTCTGTTAAATTCAGTTGTTTTTCTTCCAGGATGTCAGCTGCCCGGTTAAGCAAGTGCCTACAGGTAAAAAGCAGGTGCCTTTGAATCCTGACAGTAACCAAACAAAGCCTGGCTCCTACCCTTCCTTACTGGTCTCCAGCAACGAGTTTGAGCCCAGCAACAGCCACATGGTCAAGTCCTATTCACTCCTGTTCAGGGTGTCGCGCACAGGGAGAAGGGAAACTAATGGTCTGGTCAATGGAGAGTCCAATGAGAATATTGGTAGGACATCCACATTGCAGCCTCCTTCTTTTCTTCTTTTTCTTTCTTTTTTTTGTGCCGGAGCACAGTTCGTGTTGAAATGAATAATTGGCTAGAATTGGGCAACAGCAATATGCTGTTTGCAAGGAGCCAAGGAGGGTGCATCTGCAAAAACAATGTTTGATGTAACTGAAATGGTTGCTG